AGGCATTTCAACTGCGTGGGACACACAGCATGTGAATCAGTCTCAGTCATTTTCCTCCTTAAATCCCCATCTTCTAGGATTTACTGAAATTCATATTGGCTGCCTCTGCAAGATAAATGTAAATCACATTCCCTTATATTTACTATTTATCAGGATGCAGCAGCTCACTTTCAGCAGGAAATATCTCTCACCCGCACACAAACACCCTTGCATTTAAATAGCATTTTTATTGTCCGCCATAGCCTTTCATCTGGGCGTAGGGAGAAGAGCTGCCTCTCCAGGGGAGAGAGTTGGAGCAAGAGAGGAAGGTGGGGAGAGAGAGGGAGAGAGCAAAGCACTATTGGCAAGGCATCATGGGTATGACAAAAAGCCAAATGGAGGGAAGGAAGGTTGGTAGGTGAAAAATAGATTATGAATACATAAAGCTCCGACCGAAAATATTTTGGAATGAAAAAGAAAATGGCTTCACTTGGGTGCTCGGGAGACCTAAAAGATGGAATGAGCAACAAATGGCTCAGGTACACAGACGGCTCGTAAGCTGCAGTACAGTCTCAGCTCCAAGCGAAAGAGGCCCTTATGTAAAGCCGTGGCTATAACAATGATTTGCTCTATGAGTGGCACCCTTTGGTTCTTTAAGGTGTCTTAAAGCTTCAACTTTAGACTGTTAAATATTAGTTATGTCATCCTTCACAAAGCATACAGTATGTAGATACAAGTCTCTGCAAGCTGCAGAATCAAACCAGGACACATTATCTGACAGGAGACGAAGGCCAACTCAACACGAGGACGACACAATGTGTGCAGAGGTACATTTCTGGTGTCACAGACGCAGAATCTTTCCTCAGAGTTCAAAAGTGTTGCAAAACAACAGCAAACACTAATAATCTGTACAGAAACAGTATAGCCAGTGGATATGATTTACAGTCCCTGGATTTTCTTGGCAGCTGCCAACAGCAGGTCTCTTTTTTCTGAAAGCCTCTTACATCTTTTTTTATACTTGCCAAATTGAAACAGTATTTGTTTTAATGGGAGTTCTAATTAACCAGTATGTATTCCCCCTCTTGCTCTGCGAGTGGCTGAGCTATGAATGCAGGCTATGTGCTCATCCCCTTTGATTTGTTGTCAGTGGAGCCTGCCAGCTGACACAGTGCCCGGTGAGAGGCTTAATGCCCAAGTTTTAATAATGTGGGGGACTACATGAATCTCCCCCTCTCATTGGTATTCAGGTGCAGAATGTCTTGTTAGAAGTCAGGGAGGGAGGCGGAATGAAGCCAGAGCTCCAGATTGTTCCGTACATTTTCCCCTCTCCATTTTTTTTTTTTTTTTGGGACACGGCAGAGCTCGCTTCTTAAAAATAATTCATCCCGTTTTTAAAAGAAGCGTCTGCGCTAGCTAATGGAAGAGCAGCAGCACAGTTTGGAGTCTCCCCTGGCTTATCTCTCTCAGACAGTTGTGGGGAGTCGCTGGTGAGCATGGTGTCAGCGTGCGTGGTACGGTGCAGCGCCGCGCGGGCAGGCAGGCCTGGGGACACAGATCAAAGGGAGGCAGGGGTGAGAGCCGCTCTGCCTCTGATCCCGTGTACGTGTGTGTGTGTGTGTGTGTGTGTGTGTGTGTGTGGAGGCCCGGCCCACTCACACAGCCCAAAGGCCCTCCTCAGATACACACACACATCCTTGTCATTCCAAAACACACAACACTTTCATAAAACTGCAAAACAGAAAAAAAAAGTTCCTCACAAAACTTTGTGAACTTCCTTCATCAAAACAGCAATAAAATCTCTGTCCACCGTACCTATGGTGTTCACCTTGCACCATCGTGCCTTCTTATCGTGCTAAATAACCTGTGAACACCATACAGCATCACTTCAAAGCACTCAACAGTGCATTTCTCGCTGTTACTTTCCAAGAGAAATGCGTTTTCTCCTTTTTTTTATCACCTGGTGTCATTATTTCTTGAAATTTCTCTTGAGGAGTGAAACCAAAGCTCTGCTACTGAGCTGCTCTCACATGACTCCAGTCAGTGCAGTTGTTTTCTTTCCTCTCCCAGCAGGTGTCCCTGTCATGCAATAATGAGGAATTCAGCCCAAATGTTTCCCCACAAATGCAATGTCCATGAACATTGCTTCTAAAAGGCTCTTTAGAATTTCCTATTACCAGGTTTTGTTGGAAAATATACAATATTCTTGAGAGATGACTGTAACAGCCTCTTCAGTTAAAGGAAAGCTGTCTGTCCAAAGCAAATATTGCTTATTTGTTTTCTAGCAAGAGTATGCTAAATTCATATTTGAAGCATCATCATGGCCATTTAAAAGGCAGAGACAAAGAACTAAAAATGAGAAAGGTCATAATAAAAAAGCAGACATAAGCTTAAATCTTCAGGTAAAGATAGAAAAATACTGGAATGCCTGTCCTTCATGCCCTTGCCTTTCCTTCTTTACTAGACCCGCTGTGCCGCTAAATGAAACAAGACCAACAACAAAACACACTTCTGGTTTTTGCCCAACCATGCACAGCTTCACTCTCACCAACCCTAATATACTGCCTCCCTCAACCAGCCAAACACGCTGTATACCCCACAATGACAGCAACCAGTTTGAGAGTGCATGGCTTTTCCACCGCCTGTAATGGGAAAATGTGTGCTGTCGGGATAGGTTATGGGATTGGGATGGACGCGAGCTCCTGTCGGGACTGCTGAACGCTGCAGGATTCCATTACAGACTTGGCACCTCGCCACCGCAGCCCATTTACTGGGAATCAGAGAATTTTTGTCAATCTTTACAGCAACAGCTAGGCCCTCAATGCCAGACACTTGAAGAAATAGCTTGCACATACCAATGCACAAGCATATCTTCTGCAAACAGATGCTGTCTGTAACTTACAATATCAAATTCTCATTTCCATCTCGATAGAGAGTCTCTTTGTGTTGCTTTTTTCCATTACAGGGAAGGGAAAACAGGAGAGTAAAAACATGCTGTGAGTTGTGAAAAATAAACTGTGAGGTGTCGAACGCGGGTGGATAATCATTAAATCAATTAAAAATAATTTTCCAAAGCTGAAACTGATTTGCCGTTTGAGTGAAATTTGTTTAAATGCAAAGACAAAACAGTGTCTGACTCGGACAGGGTAAACTTGATGTTTATTGTGTGGGTTTTCTGTGTTGTGAGTTTTATGTTGTTAGCTGCATGTTGGTACAGAGAGAGAGAGAGATGAGGGCTGCCCAGCCCAGCAGGACACTGGACCACAGAGTGAACTCTGATTCTGCTGTCAGTGTGAACATTCATCTCCATGCTGAGAGACTGATAGGAATGCCACACAGCATTCTGCATGCATTCAATACATTTCAATTCTGTGCAGCACAAACATGGTGTGACACATCAAAACATCCACACCAAATGCTAAAAAAAATACACCACACCAAATGCTAAAAAAAAATAAAAAACATGAAAATTCACAATTTAATTTTTCAATAAATAAATAAATTGAAAAACAAATAAAATAATTTTCAGGTTTAATCAAACCCACTTGATAGAGTAATTGAATAGTGGAAATCCATGCTGTACAGTTGCCCAAAGGCTCCTGTCCTAATCCTCACTATGACAGGAAATGTTTAATATCCCAACACATTCTTGAATGACTGTTAAGAGAGAGGGAGAGAAAGCGACAGTGTACCCCATGCCAGTATTAGAGAGAGCCATTAATGAAAAAAAAAAAAAAAGACTCCATGTTCCTGGTGTTTTTCTGCAGGTTTGCAGAGAGAGCATTAGCAGTTAAAGCCCCTGTGCCACGATTAACAATCAAACACGCTGTGAGCCTCCATGTTATCCTCCGTCGCTCCAGCAGGAGAGAAAATCTCTTTTTTGTCACAAAATCCTTAATTCTTTCTTCTCTGAAGAAAGAGGGTAATACCAAGAATGTTTCCAATCTGCTTTGAGAAATATTTGAAGAAAAAAAAAACTCCCAATAAAACACGTGTGAACGACGGGGTAATTGTGGACAAATGCAGCATTGAAATTCATTTTCAACTCTTTACACACCATTTCAATCTTATTTTCTGCCTGTTAACCACATCTTGTTGGTGAGGGTGGGCAAGACTGGCCAGTATTGATGGGTAATTGTGTATAATTCACTCCGTACACACGATTTGCATCAATACAAATCATTTTTCATTCTGTGCTACTTAAGGCTCAACCCTTACCATAGAGTCGCATTTAAACGCTCATTAATGGAGGTGTCCAAAGAGGTTAACATGTGAAATCCAGCGCATTTCAGAGGAGGATGCAAACAAACGTGCACATAGCAGCAAAGGAGGATGAGGAGAATGAGTAGAGGAGAGATTTTTGGGCTTTTATAGATTTAAACTGCTATTAGGAGCCTCGGGATCCTAAAGAGGCTGGGTAATGTTCTTCTTTATCATGACATGAGAGCATGTGAAGTGGCCAGCAGGATAAACCTACAAGAAAAACCTCACATGCAGAGAGCACATCGCCTCTGTCGCTTTGCCTGGAAATCATGCAGTAAAGAGATGAGGAAAATCACACATAGCACTGGAGTCTTCCAGCTGCAGACAATTACGTGAAGAAGATTATGGGTCTACATTTATAAGCTTTAGCTAATTATTTCATCTGCATGTGTTCTCACTGCGCTGCACAGGATTTAGATGTCCCAGGAAAGTCGAAAACCGCTGTTTGGAGCAGCTTGAGTACTTGCGGTACTATCAAGATGAATTTTAATTTGTTGATGTTAATCCAATTGTTTTACAAATGTAGCAATTTGGAGTAGCTAAAATAAATCCAGGGCTTTGGAAGGCGAACATAAAAGCCCGCACTGGCGGTTATTTTGCTGAACATGCTGTTTCTGAATTTTAATTTCAGTCAAATACAATTACATGATGAACAGTGAGAGGAGGGGGAGGGGGTAGACTGAAGAATGTGAACACTACCTATATGTGGGGACATTATATATACTTGCAGATATACTAAGGTAGAAATTGTTTGGACTGACCTGTGGGGAGAGCCCGTTGCCGACTGAGTTCATGTGGTTGCTGGATGCTGAGGGGCTCATGAAAGTATCAGAGTAGCTGGAGAAGCTGTGGCGATTGGATGAAAGACCATAAGCAGAGCTGCTGTCAGCCCCCAGACCTCCCTGGTGCATGGATGATGGAGGCAGGGGTTGGGGTCTGTGCAATGTGCTGCCCTCTGACACCAAGAACAACAGAAACAGTGCACAGGTAAGAGAGAATCAAATCAAATTCTGTGCTAAAGCTAAACAAGAATAAACAGTAGCCTCAAGATTTAAGCTCAGTTAGTCATAGGTCATACATTAAATGTCCTTCATGAAAATTCGTTACCATAGGAAAAATGTCTTTTTATACGTTGAAAGTGTTTCAAAGAACAGAAGTGACTTGTACTTGTAATGAAGATGAAAATATGTAAAGGCTTGTTTCTGTTTCACTGAGACAAAGATGTGATTGTAAACATAACGACTGGCTTATATGGTGCACATGGTTCATATGTAATTTATAATGTTATTAAACATTAAATATGACATACCACAAAGAAGTAGGACTAATGTAATTTTTTACCAAAATTAGATTAAACTCACAAATAATTTCTGAAATATTTCCTTAGGCTGCATGCACAAGTGTTGGTCTTACCCTGCGATAGCGTGGTGCTGGGGTAGCTGGAATCTGGTAGCTGGTACGTAGGTAAAGTTGGCATCCCTGTGGGTGGGAATCCTCCAGGAAGCAGGTGGTTGAAGGCCGCTAGCTGATTGGCCCCAGCCTGTTTGCGCCACCTGGCTCGCCTGTTGCTAAACCACACCTGAAAAAGAAGAAGATACACACAACTTGAAATCAGAGCTTCAAATTCTTTGTTTTAACTCAGTTTTAGTTTTGAATGTTGAGTTCCTGCAGGTTACAAATTCGTTTTGCTTTATTTTTCTCTCACTTAAACTCCATTTATGTTCGCACTGTGAGCATTTGACTGCAGTGGACTCTCAGTAGAGCCTGCCGGCTCCTGCCACCTGTGATTAATCTGCCAGTTAGTGTGAGTGGTGGTGCTGGTGGTATTTGGGAGTCTGCTGTCCCTGTGGGAGCTGCCATAGAGGCTCAGTGGTCCGTCCCTGTTGTTCTTAAGGGACTGAAGCTGTGATCTGTGTAAACAGGCTGCCCTAAGCCCCCTTCAGAGGGAAGAAGTCATTTAAAGGTCAGACGTAGGCAACTAGCCTCCACAACACACACCTCAAGTGTGTTTGTGAAGCTTTCAGATGCTTTGAGAGAGGCCATCACTTTTCTGGAGATGGAGAGATACATTAAGCGGTATATTACCACTGTGCTGTTTTAATGTGGTTGTTTTTAAAGCTTTAAAAGTCAGTTTGAAGAGAAAGAAAGTGTTTTAACTTTTGAGTCGAGACAACGAGCTCTCAAGCTGCAAATGGCAAAATGCTCACAAAATGAACAGCACCAAGTTCCCTGAATGAAAGGGGGAAAAAAATAGGACTCTTTTGAACCGCAAAGATTTACACATTTTAAAAAGGCTTCTGCTTCAACAAAACATGAATATAATCAGGCCCTTTTGAAAAGAGCCAGCAACCTGTTCCATTTAACCAAGACAAGGCCCGGGCTTCACTGTGTGCTAAGGGTTGAAGGACATTGATCTATGCCTCGCACAGGCAATTCATCAGAGTTTAATACACTGTCAGCGCAGTTCATCTACTGTTGTGTTTCAAACGGCCGGGGCTATTGTGAGAGCACATGAAAGAGGGGGACAAAAGCCCCTCCATACGCCACAGAGAACAGTGGACACAAAGAGGGGGCGTCCCTTTTAAACAGGTCTTAAAGAGGGACACTTTCAAGGGGACTTACACAGCGACATACTCACTGCTTTTTGGGGGCTGCCTCTTTTTGTACACACAAACATACATATAAACTCGTATAGGCCTACAAGGGATCTCAGCCAAACAGAGATCTTAATTTGAATGTGGTTCTTTTCACACACAGTCACTGCGTCTGCAAAGACCAGGTGATTTTTTTTTGCCTATAGCTCGGTTTAGTCTTGAGCACTCACTAGAAAGAGAATGGGGTGCAACAGGCGATGACTGTGTCGGGCAAACCTCAATTGTGCAACTGGAAAACCAACAGGAAATCTTTATCTCAAGCCTGATCGCTTCTAAGGACCCTGTTTGAATCCCTCAAACAGCTATTCCAAAACAAATGTGGTGAGTGGCTCCAGCAAAATTTCTGCTATTGGGATGTAGTGGAGCGTGGTCCAAGGTCTGAACTAAGCTCCTACTGGGCCAGACAAACAGCTGCCTGGTCCAGGGGAGGGGGCAAGGGGGGCACACCCCTTTCTTCCACACACTCCCCATCACCCCACCCCGCAGTGCCACTTCACCTCCGACCTCATCCACTCACCCCACCCCTCTTTTATGTTCACTTTAACTTCCTTCCCCCGTTGTCATCCAAGCTTAGGAAGGAGGTGTTCCATCATGGCAGACACAAAACTCTTTAACGTTGAAGTCCGCCTTTTGCTTTCACCATTTCCCTTTCTTCAGTGCATTTTCGCTTCCTTTTCCTGCAATCTTCCACTCCTAACATTACTGTTTCTAGTGCATGTGTACATGTCACTAAATTATTTTGTTCTACAGCATGAGGATTGTGGTGTTATTTGATGATAATAAAGCACTAAAGTAGTAAATTAATAAAGCCTTTTGTGTCTCATGCTCCAAGCCATTGTTGATGTATTCAATATTAAACCAACACTCTGATCTTTCTTTAACCCTCAAGCTGTGACCATAAAAATGTTGAATTGTGCATTAGTTGCTATAAGCAGATGTCAATAAACATTTAGCTGATACCTTCAGTATGAACATTTTGCATTGACATTAACGTTTCTATTATGTTGATTCTTTCAAAATGTATTTGCTGTTGCAAATTCATAGCAGCTGCCAGAAAATTCAGAAAGAGAAAAGTCAATGAAGCGTATCCTCATAATTTATTGGAATTTACAGTATTCTCAGGCTTTGAAGAGGCTTTCTTCAACATTAATACACTAAATTTGCCTAAACTACCAAAGAGGCTGCAGCTCTATTGAGTTAGTGTGAACAAAAGCCGGGTGTAGTGTTTTAATATATGTGCCACTTTGTCCAACAATCGTCAGGCTCTCAGCAGAGACGGGGATAAACATGTACACAAGTGGCAATGCACATGCGCACAAGTGCCCATATGCTATCACACACATGCATACATTGCGAGCACACTCTTACACACATATTCACTCGCACGCAGACTAACACACAGCCTGAAGCTGAGGATTTGAGGCTGCGCTCTGGAACCTGATCACAAAGTCACCTTGGACCATAGATTCTCCTCTCCCCAATCCGGTTTAATTCTCTGCAGTACAGAGAGCTGCAGCGCTCCTCCATGTCTCCCCTATCTACCTACAAGTGTGCCACAGAATTCATGTGGCTGACTTCTGTTTTGTTTTCACGGACTAAAAGGTTTCCCTCGATCCACTGCACTTGGATACGTCTGCGCTACATCTCTGAATGGTTATGGAGAAAGTTTTGAGAGGCAGGGAGGATGGAAGAGCAGCAACCCATCTTATAGAAGTCAAGCTTAGCCCTGCTTGTAAAACAAAAGAGGAAGGTCTTGAGGAAGACATACTTGGAAGATTGTTGTAGAGCATAAGTTGAAGGGGGTCTTGTTGTAAACCTCAGAACTTGCAATTGGATAACAATCCTGCAATAGGCAACAGCCACGACATTCACAGTTTTAGTCTCCAGTTAAAGTCTGGTGGCTTGCTTTAAATCTTCCATTCATTCTTAGCCAACAGAATCGATTCCTAGCGATCAAGTGGCATTTTGCATTTTCTTATCGCTGATCAGTGATAATACACACTCCAGCGTAAACGTGTGACACTGCACTGCAGTAAAAACCTCTCTCTGTTGTTTCTCTTAAATAGGATCACTCATATTTCAGAATTCCCCGCTCAGACAATCCTCCATGAATTATTTTGTCAAAGACAAGCGCTGAATATGTGACGCCTTTCAGGAGCCAATTTGCAACATTCGGTAGATGAATACCAAGAGCCGAGATAATGACAAAACAAAATGTGCTGCTGACTTCATATCCACAAAAACACAGAGGGGTGATGCAACCAGCCTCAACATACAAATCCTCTTCTGTCTCATACCACGCAATGCCCTCCCTTCCCCTTACACCTCCTCCTCCTCCTCCCCTTCTCTCGTTTCCCTCTTCTTTCCCCTCTCTCTCTCTCTCTCTCTCTCTCTCTCTGATTCCCTCCCTGCTTGCCTTCCAGACTGGCACTATGCTAATTAAAGTAGCTAGGAGTGTGAATTTGAGAGGAGAGTGGGATTAGCTTGATAAGTATCAGGAGTACAGAAGCACTGTACCAAAGTCATTTAAATTCTAATAATAAGAAACTGTTAGAACATTCACACTGATGCATTGCAACAATTTCTCCTCTACAATCTACACAAATCCTATTTATTCCTTTATGAAACATAAACCCATACTGGCGGGAATACAGTTGCCTGTTGGGTTTGGTTGTCACCACTCAGCTCCATTGTGATTTTCTCTCTTGCCGCTGGTACTCAACTGATATTATAACAATCAGGAAACTGCGTATTACCTCCTGATACCTCCCTATGGGATTATATTTTCACTCGCTATGTTGAAAACTTGTTTAAAAGCATCAGTGTGAGTTTGAAGTTGCCTGTACTGGTCTGTCACATAAAACTGAGGGCCAGAACATAGGATCCATATAGGTCTTTTGCCTGTGCTCATTCCATGCATCAACAGGCCAGCACAAGCCACAGATAAAGAGAGAAACTTTTTACCAAATTGATTTGCACGCTTCGTAAAAAGCAATGCTTATACCTTATTAGATTCCACTAAGTATAATAGCTACATGCAGAATGTTTATTGGTAATGAAAGAGGATCTATGTGACAGATTCGGTAAAGTGAGCCGGAGGCAGCATGCTGAGATGATGAGCCTCAGTCGAGACTCAGGAGTCACTCTCTTAAAAACTTCAGTCTAAATAGAAGAGAATGTAATTTGCTTCATCTGTGAGCGCTGATTTACAGCGGCCTGCAGCCTATTGCCTGCACTCCCCCCTCTCCCTCCTCAGTGCTACCCCCACCTGGTCCACCCCTCAGAGGGAACGGACACAAATGATGCTCTCTTCTCTAATAGCTCATGGAATGGCTTTGCTGCCTGCTCCTGTTAAAACTGAGGGGTTATCAGATGGAAAGTGGCAGCACACACTGCATCAGCGGAGCAGAGACTGAAGGTAGACTTGGCAGTATCCCCTCCCACTGAGACAGCCTGGAACTAATTGCCGAGAGATACGGATCATATCCCACAATTTGTCAGTTGGGGTGATAAAACCATTGCAGGGCTCATGGTGGTGAGTGAGCGCTGGTAGCTCTGCTGAAAGGGGCAGCGGGGCTGATAAAGATGGATGGTGAAAGGGTCTTAAAATGGCAGGCGAGGGCAGACACAAGGGAGTTAGCTCTGTTTATGAGTTTAGGTTGTGAGTCAGCGCTAAGCCAAACACTCATCACTTCCACAAGAATCTAGCAGTTTAATTTACAACACAGCTTTGGGCTGTGGCGGTTGGGAGCAGCCACACTTGCACCTCACAAGTGCAGTTTACCTCTGCATGCAACCTGAACAAACTGCTGTCCACATTATCACCATGTTTAATGACAAACGGATGACAGTGAACCATGACTGCGGACACAAATTCAAGTTAAAATATGAGTCTGTGGGAGCACCAACACCCCCTGTCTATAGTTCCTTTCTCAGCCCTGAACACCGGTTAGTCTGTGAACGACATCTGGAAGATGCGTCATTGCAGCTGTGCTGGAGAAGCTTTGCTCTCAGGCCAAAGGGTCTCCTCTCTCCTGCCCTATGATAGGCCTTTTGGGCACCTATGTGCAAGCCCAGCTGGTGGACATTTACAAACAACATATACATGCACACGCCATTAAATTCACATTTAAGCTAAATTCTTTCATATTTAGTTTATCTTTATGATCAAATTCTTCATTAAAAGGGTTAAATGTTGATGTTTGTGTGGTATTTTCCCATAGTCATTCAGATTCTGCTGAAAAACAATGACTCCTTTGAGATGCATTTGGGGAAATTCTAGGAAATCAGACTTATATAAAAGTTATCTTCCTAAAGAATCCTCTTCCCTCATACAAGCTCACCAAACTGCAGCGCAACTTCAGGCGGCATTATTTATTTTGGCTACCAGAGCTCCATTCTTCGTAACCTTCTCAGAAAATTAAGTTTGAGTTGACCTTTTGAGACTTTCAAAGCCTTTAAGAATTAGATTACGAGGTAAACAGCATTAACAAATTATAGCCATGACTCAAATTCCTCAGGTTTTCACATGACATCATTTAAGTCTATTATCTAACAGCAAAGACACAGCAGTCACTCCGTTTTCTTTCTTCTCTTGCTTTCATGTTTTGATATTTTTGTCAGGCTCAATAAATACACAGGTGCTAATAAAAGATTGGATTTTGTTCTCAAACCTGAGATGTTACTGTCCTACATGATGATTTTGAATTGAACTAGACTGATGCATTTGTACATGGCATTTACTATAAGCATTAAAAAAATGCAGCAATATGCAGTATGTGGCTAAATTAAACCATATTAGGATTGTTTGAACTCAATGCAAAATTTAATTTACCACCTAGGTATTTATTATGTGTGTTGTGGTTTCAGTTCTTCCCCCTCTTGTCCACATTTATCACTTAAACACACAAAAAAAATCCTAATATATTGCCTTATAACAGCCATGAGATAAATTTCTCCTCCCTTGAGTGAGGCATTAAACACTCAGACATATAGGACATCCTTGCATGTTGGGGGGTTTCAAGATGGACAAAGACATGTGTGGAATTAGTTACCCTAACTGCATGTTTGTAGTGTGATGAACAGTTAGCATGCGGTTAGGAGTTTGGGGGCTTCAGAGGGAGTGTGAACGACTGTGGTAAGAGGAGAGGGGTGCCCCAGACCTTTTTCTTTTTTTTTTTTTACTAGCGGCTGATTGATTAATGTTGTTGTCGGGGCATAAGGTCCCTAGAGAGGATGAGGAACCCTGTGTGATATGTGGAGGGTTTTACAAGCAGCGGCGAGCTTGAAAGTGATGGGATGAGATCCTGGCCAAAGGCCGAAATGAGAAATCCATCAGGAATGCATTCCCTTTCTCTCCTCTCCTCTTTTTTCCCTCTCTCTCTGTCTTTGGAGGAACAGCTGCTGCTATAACTCTACTGTACATATCTTCCTTCAATCTTACATACAACCACAGGGCACCCAGGTTGTCAGCCAGGTTCCTAGGTCTGAGGTGTGAAGATGCGTAGAGTCTCTGTCAAACATCTTGAACATGAAGAACTCCCTTACATGCACAGCACAATACGGTAAAAAGGTAAATCATTGCCGTGGGTAAAAGAAGGGCAATATTATTACGTTTTTAGATGGAACACCTTCAAGCGTAAGTTCAGTCAATGTGATGCTTTTTGCCGTGTGTTTAGGGGAATTACGTTATTTGGTGTTCAGGCAGTACAAGTCCCTGTGAGGCCTGAACAAGGTGAAATACAGAGTGAGCTTCTTTTTCTTAACGACTCTTACCCGTAAGCAACTACGGCACATTGATGTTGGCATAGTTTTTAAAGTTAGCATAGCTTGAGTCCAGTTACACGAGTTCAAAGCACTGGTTCACCCAAAATACAAAAAACCAAAATTCTCACTTCTAGCCATGCAGATAGTTTCAGTTTGATTTGCCCAAGTGGTGAGATTGTATCTGTCTCTGACATTTCTGCTTCCACCCCTCCAATACAATGACAATTTTCAATGACAATTCTCATATCAAATTTTGTCATTAAAAAATGACATTTGAAAAGTCATCAGCAATGTGTCTCAACACAAACTACATCTTCTTTATTTAGGAGGATCAACACACGTCACTAAGAACAAGTTTTCACTGGAACTTTCTACGAAAGAAATAGTCCCCGTAAAACAGGACATGCCAGGACATTATTCCTTGAAAGACATGTTGCTGTTAATTTCTTAAAATGCACATTCCTTCATTTGTATTGAAGTGGAAACCGAAATTCAAGTCATACTCTTTTCAGAGCTACGTATGTGTTTTAATGATTTGGGTGAACCGACATGCAGGCATACTGCAGCATAATACTTGGTCTCATTGCTACTGTCAGTGGTATGTCTAACCTGTACTCTCGCCTCTGTGAGTTTTGTCCTCTGAGCCAGCTCCTCTCTGGTGTAGATATCTGGGTAATGTGTCCTTTCAAAGGCCTTCTCCAGCTCCTCCAGCTGTTCAGCAGTGAAGGTGGTGCGACTGCGTCTCTGCTTCCTCTTCAGGGGCAAGTCGGGCTCCGAATCTACATCTGAACCATCATCTGTGCGGTTACCTGACGTGAAAAGAAAAAGACAGAGGGCCATCTGTGTGATCATGACATGGAAGCAAGTTAAGGAGTCTTTAATGTGAATTAACTGAGGTTGGTTGGTAGAAAATAGCATCAAATGTGAGCTGAAACTGATCAAGAAGAAGCTCTAACAGCATTATCTGCATTTTGTAACCTCTTTTGTTGCTCTGTGGCAACACAGAGGATTCAAATGACAGCCTCTCCTCTCTCAATATACGACAGAGAGAATATTATCTTAATCTGTGGATATTTATTTAATATAGAAGAGGCCCTGATACACAATCCTGCCTCTGTGAGGGGCCCCAGAGGCTGTGAAGGGAGAGGGCTGAGGGGGAACGGGGGTGTTGGTGGGTAGAGGGGTTAATCTGCACAGGCCACCTTGCTGCTCCTCACCCTGCTTTTCTCTCTCATTGGCCCAGGGCACACTGTTCATACATAGCACAGCCAAAGTGTATAAAATAGAACACAATATCACACCAAAACCATTCAGTCCCATGTGTTTCCATCTGCTGTCATTAAATGAATTAGAACATATTTTACATTACTTTTTAGGCATTCAACTAAGCTGAATTTTTGCTCGAGGAATATAGATACAGCACAAAGCTGTACAATCCAGGCCGACAGGGAAATTTTTGACAGCAAATACGCATTACCATTGCACATTACCATTATAACTGAATTTAGAAAATTGCATCATTTTCACCTCCTCTGCATGTCTATTCAAACTACATGGCCCTTTTCATTTCATGTCATAAAATTCATATTTTCATAATTTCCTCATTGAGACATTGACAAGGCGGCGTGATGTGCCAGTGTTGCTCCAGGCCTAGTTGGATTGCATCATGCTCAGTCCAGAAAGTGTGGGAGAGGGAAAATAAAGGGAGATATTGAAGGAGAGGGTGTATGAAGAGATTTCTGCTTCTGACAGAGGCCCTTTGCTCGCCTGAGTGAGTTCCTGACGCCTAATTCATTGTTTCACAGCCACGATCTCTGTTTATAGCTCACTCCAGTCAAATCTTTCAACATGAGTGGACAAAAGAATACTCAAACCTAGCCTCCAAATAACAACTGTGAGAACAAAAGAGCAACAGAGCTGGCGGAGTCTCAAGGCCAGCTCCAGAGTTTAATTAAACAAGGAATTATGGGATTATATGGAGACTATCATTACAGGCCACTCTATGAGTCTTCTACGAACATTTTTTGTCCCCCTGAGCTCATGCTCAATGATTCTCTGCGGATTACATGTGGCCGCAGGACATGAGGCCGCATTCATTAAATCAATTCTTCAGTCTTATCCTTTTTAATAAAGATTGATTCTTGAAGCACAGACTCACTCTGCTGCAGAACACCCTTGAACATACAAAGTTGAATATGTACATACACCACATATCCCTTTGTTGGTTTTCATGAGGATGCGTATATCCATTTGCCCGGTAACTTGCCATGACGACACTTGAGACCAGCCCAGCAGTCTGCAGATCACTTTCCAAAGTCACCTCTGTGTCCTACAGGGAGACGTGGGGGCCAGAGTAGACACATACTCAAGGGGCTTCGAGAAAGGCACTAAAATCTTCTCCTCCTCAAATTATTTTCTTTTCTCCCCTTTGTTTGAAGCGCTTTCACAGATTTTATTTTGCAAGTAAACCGCTGTGGCAATCTGTGTCACATTTAGCATGCTATCAGGCTAATGACTGATAAACCTCAACAGACAATAGCTTGTACTGCTGCTCTCCATTAAGCCCTACAGAGCCAACACATCTGCTCGTGTACATGAACCAGAAGCACAAGGTCAACAGCCCTGTCTGTAATGAGTAAGGGAAATGGAAAATGGCACACGCTGCATGGGGCCAACTGGGATTGGGGTTGGACATAAAACTCATCTATATGCTGACTACTTTTGGCACATAGAAGACAGAAAATGCATTAAAACACATGGCTGCTTTCCATGTTGATGTCAGACAGAATCTGAAACTGATTTCTGGTTAACATACAGTAGTGTTACAATAGTCCATCCAATGAACAGATGATTTAGAAACGGGCCTGAATACATGTCAGTGCAAACAAGCCTCTTTGAAGACAAGAAACAACCATTTTTCTTGACAAAAGGCACTTCATCAAATCTCTTTTTCTTTTCGCCTCACATGTGCCAATGTTAACAATCATAGACATAATAGGACTCAGCAAACAAAATCCCTGCAGGCCTGTCGAGGTCAATTCCTTAATGGTCCGTTCTTCACAAAAAGGTACATTCTGATTAGACATTTGTATAATACGACTGCAGTAATTCCATTCACAGGTTCATGGGATATTGATAAACCACTCATGCCTTGTCTCATTACTTATCGTCCAATTAGAATCTAATTATGTCCCATCCAGTGGGCATGATTACCACTGTGTACTCTCCTCCAGGGGCCCTCTGAGGTTTTTCCTCAGTATTGACTTAAAATTGCACCCTCTATAAATAGGAATTAAACAGGTTTACACATCGCTTTGTCTAGGTGAGTGTTTGATTGAGATTAGAAATAACACTGCGTTTGCTTTGAGTAAAAGCTACCTTAACCTAAATTGTAATGAATGTCATGAAAGAGATGGTTTCAATGCAGGAAATAATTCCTTTAACTGAAGATCAAATCAACTAAACTTAACCCTAAACTTAAGATCAATCACTGACCTATAATATAACTGTTCATATAAGTGATAAACCATAGGAAAAGGTTATCACTTTAAAAGGGCAAAATGCAGTTTACGTAATACAGGATGTCTGGGAGAGATTTTTTTCCCCAGCTATAAGCAGCTCCTCTGTATCCTTTGTGCACTGCATTGTGGGAGAATAGTGTGCATCAACAACACACTTAGACAGAGTTAGCTTTTGTTCTGTGTAAACTGACCGTTTTCAGAATATTTTAGTTTTAGTTTGTGCTGGAAAACTCCGCTCTTACTAAACAAACTATGGTTGCACAGTAGGTGAACAATTAATATATTTAAAGGGATTAACAATTAACAATTAACCCTGTTTTAATTCATGTGGTAAATTCCGTTACTAGAAATTATCCCTAAAGACTGTGGAGAACCACCAAATTATTTCACCCTGGTGTGACTTTGCTTTAATGATGCTTTAATTCTGACCAGACCTTTTAGATAAAACAGAGTTCTTGCTCTTGAAGGACTTGTGCAGCTAGTTAATAGTTTTAAGGTCACTATGAGGTTTAAAGCCTGCTCTCTCCCCTGGTGCTCCTCTGCTGACCCCACAGACAGACTCCTCAGACTGCAGGCAGATGGGATCCTCATCATCACCCGGTTTCCTCAAAAACCCCTCCCTTCCTCACATCGACCCCCTCCCACGTACTCCTCCAGTCCTTCTTCTCGTCTTCTCCCTCCAACCCCTCGGACTCCTCCAGTCCCCCACCTTTACCCCAGAGACGCTGAGGTAATGCTGATTAAACAGACAGCTGTCCACTCAATACTGGCAATTAACCACGTGATCTGTAAGGTTACCGATTTATGATATATAACAACAGCAATAAACTTCAGGTCAGCCAGGCTGTTGAAAAATGTTGGCTAAGCACATGATTCTTTAAAGGTGGTTATGAATGAAAAACTATTAACTATTAAGTGTTCACCATGAAGCTTTACAATAAATAGAATGAGCATAAATCACTTATATTATAAAAAATGCTTAAAATTATGTCTTTTCCATCTTACAACCACGTCTCTTAATTAAGTACACCATGAAAGAACTACAAACTAAAACAAAAAAATGGGTAAATGTCAGTACTTCAACCCACGGGGGTACCAATAACTTCTACCAATAAGAAGAAAAACAGCAAAATTCACCACTGAAACAAACAAAATTACAAAAGTTAAACACAGCAGCATTACTGATATATTTTCTGCAAATGTAAGCGATGAAATAAAAAGAAATTGTGCTCTATTTGTGCAAATAAAATAAGAAATATTATTGGAAAATCAACGATTTCTCTATTATAAACATAAAAAAAACCCTCCTCTTTGCCAGTGTCAGGTGTTTTTTTTACCCCTCATCTCACCTGTGAGCAGTATTAAGTTAAGTAGTGCTCGTCCTAGTCAGACTCTCTCTGATATCATAACCCATGGCCTCAATATCAGCCATACCTTTGCAAACTATCCAAGACAGAGGGACAAAAACAGACAGGGCTTTGGCAGTGCAGCATTAGCTCATAATGGCTCATTTTGAAAAGCATATTAGTTCCAGCATAATTACAATCAGGCCTCACGCTCTGTGTTTTGCAGGCATTCACAGGACCAGCCTCTGAGCACCGAGTCACACCAGTTGACTGTGACTGACAGCAGATTTAGTTTAAAATGGTGTTTTTTCCTCCCTCTTTTTTTCCCACAGGACAAAAATAACACCGCATCTTTTCTCCCTATTTATGTTGACTTGTTTATTTTGTGCCTACCTTTTGTCGTAGTTGATACTGCAATTATACTTTTTGTCAGTCAGAGGGGGTGAATATCAAAAGGCCTAATTATGCAAACAGGCCTATGATAAGAGGCATCTGCCTGAGATTGGATCTGCTATCTCTGACATGCATCTGTCTCTGTGCTGTCTTTGGGGCTCCAGGCCTGCATATAAACAGCCCTGCCTGTCCCCAGGACTGCATACGATTCAACCACCAACACTGGAGTGGAGGGATGTTTCGGGGGCGGGGGGGATCGTGCAGCAACATCAAATAACTAACAACTTCCCAATTTGCATTTTTCTGAGAATGGTGCAGCATCTCTGTTTAATGCACTTGCCTGTTCATCCCAAAGGGGTTGCCAAGTTAAAGGAGGCATGTGATTCAAGGCATTTACCGAAGGATGTATCTGAGATAGGAACCTCATGTGAATACAAGATAGACGACAGCGATAACCGGAATGGTTTAAAGACAAATTGTCTATGAATAATCTTTTCCTTTAGTTATCTCACTGCGTGTGAAAAACAAAAACAAAACTCTAAAACTGAG